TTTCTTGCTTTATGTTGATCAAATCTTACAAACGAGCATCATTTCATGTCTTTTTCTTTGTGCTTTCTTCATTCATTCTCTGTTGCTTTACCCGGAGGTGTCTTTAGATGCTGCAGGATCAGGCCTAATCTACTGAACAGATTTATTCTATTGTGTCAGAAGTTACTGTCTTTCAGTAGATCCATCAAATGTAATGTCTTGGTTGCTACTTCCTTTCCAGAAATAAAATGTTAGAAAAAGATGATATCCAGTGATTGTGATATTATCTGATTTGTAAGGATCAATGAATAAAGTTGAGTCTGTTTTAACTAGGAAGTGTGTTAATTGCAATACAATAACTATAAATAAATAAATGTAAGTAGAAGGTCTTGGAGATACTCCACTGATCATGTTTTCTCAGTGATTGATCAATATGTCTGATGTTTCAGGTCATTTCCTGCTCTTTCCTTCAAGTCCTGTCAATTAAGTGCTGCTCAAGTATCAACAAATTGTGACCTTTTTCTCTTTGCCTGCATCAACCTGTATTAAGTGCTTGAGGAGTGACTTTATCAAATTACAACAACAGGAGTGATTAACGTCTGTCAGTGGGAAACCTTTTCCTCCTTCATCACTTTTATTCTCTCTAAGCTTTTAATCAGCAAAGTCTTTGTTCTTGCAGCTGGATCTGTAAATTAAGTTTAACCTGTATTTTTAGTGACCACTGGAACAATTAGAATACTGGCTCTGTCGTAACATCAAGTCAGCAGGGAAGTATGAATTTGGTGGTATTTATTTGTAATTCCTCCTATCAAGTTACAACATACTGTTGTAAAACATTTGTTTCTACCTCAGAAAGACTAGAATGGTTGTTTACATTCTGTTATGCAAAAAAATTATTATTACCACAAAAAAAGCAGAACAAAAGCAAGTAAAAAAAATATGATAAAGAAATTTGGATCATAACCTAAAACTAATACCCCAGTCAGTAGTTTAACTTCGTCAAAATCAGCGCTAAACAAATGGGTTTTAAACTTTGACTTAAAAGTACTCAGGCTTTCAGCACTTTTACAGTGTTCTGGGAGTTTGTTCTAGATAAGTGGATCATAGGAACTAAATGCTGCTTCTCCATGTTTGGTTCTAGTTCTTGGGGTACAGAGTACTGTAGGCTTGAACTAGAAGACCTGAGTGATCTGGGAGGCTGATACACTGACAATCTGTCATATATTGCTGTGCTGATCCATTCAGTGATTTATAGACAAAATTATATTCTCTATGCTACAGAGAGCCATTGTAAGGACTTCACTACTAAGCTGATGTGCTCAACTTTCTTAGTTCTAGTGAGAACATGGGCAGCAGTGTTTTGGATCAGCTGCAGCTGTCTGATGCACTTTTTTAAGTAAAACTATGAAAACACTGTTCCAGTAATTTTACTAAAGATAAATTCATAATTTTTTTTTTTTTTTTTTTTGCTTGGACATTAGGGCTTTAATCCTGGAGATGTTCTTCATGTTATAAAGATGCACAGAACCAAATGACTGAACTTTTACATATCATAGTATCATTAGGAAAGGTCATATTTTTGGCAATTTTCTCAAAATTTCAGTTTTGAGCTAAGTTAACTGGGTTTGCTTGTTTTTTTGCATGAGTAAAAAAAGTAAGGATTCTCTCTTAGTTTCTTCCCATTGTCCTCTGTTTTACTCCTTTACCCTTTGTGTACTATATATAAACGTATTGTGCAAACAAAATAACTGCCCCCATGGAACCCTGAAAAACACTCTGTCACTTAGAGCATTTTGCATAAAATAAATAACATTAGCGCTTTTCTAACCCATTCAGGATTTTTTTTTTTTTATATAGTTAATTAATCTAAATAAAAATAATACAACACAATGGTCAATAACACAGGAAACATTGGGGGATGGGTGAGCTGAATGTACACTGTAAAAGCAAAGGAGGGACATTTTGGGATGCTTTGGTCAGTTATTGTTTAGTTTGTGTTTTTGAGTTTTATTGCTTATCTTCGAGGGACTAATGCAGTCAGATGATATTTGACTAATAAATCTACGTTTAGGAATGAAAACCACTCCTTATACACAAATGTTACTGCCCTCTTTCAACTCAAAGAGGAACATCGACTGCATGATTTTATTTTTGGCAGTGAAGAGAAAAGAGTTCAAGATTTGTTTTTTTAATGCCTTTATCTTGGAGGAACAAAAGTCATTTTCTTGCAGACGGTATTGATTTAATTACGAATATTGATAGGGTCCGTTAACACAGTGATTTGGAGTTTTATTTTGCAAGGTTGGTCTCTAAGGTTTAAGCAGACAGAAATAGAATTTCCTATTTGCAAAACATGATTTAGTTTTTGTCTTAGACTGACAACACCTTTTTATTTAAAAACCCAGACTGCTCCACCAGAGTTTCAAAGCAAAACAGCCGTGCCATTTAAACAGAAAAACACACGAGCCACTGAGGTAAAAGAAAATACTGTTCTTTTAGTTATTTACTAAATCTGTAAATGGTTTCCAGCAGCATCACGTCTGAAGCCGTATTTCACTGGAAATGTGACAGAGCTCCAGTCAGACAGGACAGCGTCTGTAAGGTCTAAAGCGTCTGTTGGGCTTAAAGCTTTTTAATACACATTCTCTTTTCAGCTCAGTGTATAGGTGTGCAAGCCATCATTATTGTCTATGTGTTATGTTTAAAAAATACACCAGTTCTGGCTTTTTATTTTCACTTTATCCATAGCCCTCAATAATGAAAAATATTTTCATGCAAAATAAAATACCTGGGGGGGGGAACTCAATCACATCTGGTCTAACATTAAAGACAGCAAGCTTTGCCTGGACACAAGGTTCTAATCATAAAAGTATTACTCTTCCATGGTTAAGATTGCATAATCCCATAGATTATATTGAGTCAGTAATTACAACTGTATTCATTCTTTCCCTCTTGCTCTAAACTGAAAGATCCAGGTCTGTCATCTTACGCAATAAACTACTTCAGATTAATGCAGTTCACCTTGGCCTCCTTTGCTCCCAATATGTCATATTTTAGAACAATACAGATCAAAAAACAAACATAAAACACAGAATAATATTTTATTTAACTGCTAGATTCAGATTTAGTTGAGTGAGATTTTAGGAAAAACACCCCATAAAATAATATCTTGGTTGATTTTCATAATCATTTAATCGGGTATTCAGGTTCTTCTGGGTACTTTTGTATCTTTCATAGTTTTTTTGTAGAGACCAGGGAAAGCTGTTACAAGAGATTTGCAACCATAGCTTTTGCTTATTTGCTGAAGAGGATAATAGTCTATAAACATAAAATATACATATTTGAACAAAATGATTAATGATTTTATTATATTGTTTGATGAAGTTTTCATAAACCTGTGTGTTAATGTGAGATAATAATAATAAAAAAAAAAAAAAAAAAAAAAAAAATATATATATATATATATATATATATATATATATATATATATCAATCATAGTATCATATATATACATATAGCCTCTGGCTATATGTAGAGCTCCCCCTACAGGTTTGTTGGGAGACAGTTCAGTAGATGTCAGCAGGTTACGGTATACTGGCTGCGGCTAATATATATACATTTCTAGTTTCTTCAAAAATGTTTTGGTGGGTCTTATAATGAGGTGCATTCTATAGTCTGAAAAATACTGCATAGAAAAATCTCAATTCACACCTTAGTCCTAAATGTGAGTCCTGACCCTAAAACAGTAATCTCCTTGTGGGGTCCAGGAATCGGGCTCCGCAAGGAGCAGTGAGTTCCTACAACGTGCTATTTTTCCAGAAAATATGCCCCATAATGTATCAAATACAAGAACACAGAGACATTGCATTGCATTTTTCCCCACATTGTCTTTGGGTTGCCTTACATTTATTTCTGAATTGTATTTTTGTTTAACCTTAACTATAAGCAAAACTTACATTACACAATACCTCTACATTCTTAAGTCTAAAAAAGGGAAAGTCCACTGTATGAGATCAGGGTTTTTCTCCCTCTAAGGCCTGTTGGTCTTCTTCAGTTTAGTGGATAAACCAGAAAAAGGTCCTTAATAGGCAATATTAATGTATAGGCATACACACTTGCCACTTAGCATCTCCCACCCACCTTCTCTCCACCATCCCAGCTGAGAGGAGTCATCAGAGATGACTGACAGGCAAACTGAAGCGATATGAATGTGAGTGAGAACGTGAATATGAATATGCAGATGAGCAGTGGAGACAGTTGGCTGCTGTTTTCTCTTTAGAGAAGATGACAGCTGTCATCCTTCGCCCTCTTTTTTTCACCGAAAAAACTGATGCACTTCCTGACCAGGAGGAGGAGGAATAATGGCACCAGACTCTAAAGCTGATAACAACCCCCATTTTGATGGGATCTGATGTAAACATGAGGTACACTGACTATGTAGGTACATTAAAGACAGTCTTTTTTTAACCTCTGTAAATCCATGTAAGAAAAAAAAACATTAACTGTCTGGTTAAAAACTATTTACTTATAATTTTAATTTAATCTCTTCACCATAGTGAAGAGATTAAATTACTGAATGTATGTGTGTCTATGGAATGGACAGAGGTTGGTTTAATAATAGCAAAGCTTATGCAGGCAGGTTGTTACATATTATTTTGATGGTTCCACCTCACACACCTTTTTGTGCTATCAGTAAGCTCCTGGCACATTTCTGGCTGGATGTTTGACTCATTTTCTTGGCAGAATTTGTTGGGCTGTGTTACAAAAACCAGACCTCCAAATATTGCCCGCAAAGTTTCATAAGGGATGAATCTTTGAGCAGGATCATGGTGCTGGTGGAACAGCCAGTTTTGCCAAAGTTTCAACCATATAGGTAGTGAATTACTGTGATGCACTTTAAAATTTGCAATTTTTTTTAGCTCTAAAAGCCGCAGCCAAAATAACCTCCTGTTGTAAAAATGTAAAAAGCTTAATTGTTGTGTGTTACTGATGTTAGTTTGTGTTTGCTTCTTTTCTACAGTGAGATCAGCAATCTGGACTCTGGCCTGGTGGTGGAGCTATGGAACAAAGGTTTGATCTGGGATACTATGATCGGTACAGCCCTGATACCCCTAGACACCATTCATCAGTCTGATGAGGTAACATGGCGAAAAGTTTTTTTTTTCATTTATGATAGTACATACTGTAGAAAGCTCTCAAACACTAGTGTAATAACTGGGAACATGTTATTGTTAAAAGGTGACATCAGAAATACTCTGTTTGCCTTTGGAACTTTTTTCTTTTTTTTTTTTAGGATTACAACACCTTAAAGGTATTGTGGAGGATGTTCTTTTCTGTGTGGATCATCAAAATAAGTGGTCCTCTTAATTGTCAATCATTGTGGTGATATGTTTATGTAAGGCCATCTTACATGCTCATCCCCATTTTTACTTACCGGTGGTGAGATAGTGGAAAAATGCAAATCTTCTTTTCCAAAGTAAGCTTACTTTGAGTTAAGCATACAGCAACTTTTAAACAGAGCATGCACAAGGAGAAATGGGCTCGTGCACGCTCTTGCATGTGTTTAATAGGCGTTCCCTCTTGGGAGTGGGTACAGGGTTATGCATGTGCTTTTTTTTATAGTTGAGAGCATGGGTCTTTTAAAGAATTTGCGAAAATTCCTCTACTATACCTTTAACCGAGATGTAGGTTGAGCAGTACTCCTTACTTTAAACCTAGCAGTCTTTTTTTTTTAGATAATTCTTTCTAATCTTTAGAGTTTATAATTGACTTTAACCGTTTTACCCCAGATGTTTGCATATTTTAATATTTGTTATTTGAAATAGAAATTTTGCAATCAAGGCTAAATACAGCTGATACGGAGATGTATTTATTAACTAATCCATCTCAAAGATGGGATTAAACCTGTAGCAGATGGTTTTTATTATTTAACACAATTAAGATTTTATTGTTTTGCACCTTTACTAAGAAATTTGCTAATCTTGTTAAATATTAATTTGCTGAAACCTTTAATGAAAATGTGATACTATTAGATCTACAGTCAAGTATAGCTGGGTGGCCAGTGAATATTTGGGGTCCTTTGCCATCAGGAGGGCTTACTTACTTGTACTTTGGGCAGGTTCTGTTTCCTGTTTCTCTTCTAATTTTTTCCACATTCCTGAATTAACTTGTTTTAGACTAAACCAGTTTCATTCTTCCTTTTCTTAAATGTATCAGTTTAAACTACCTCCAACATTGTGTGTTAACTCTAAAACAGATTAGATTACCAATTCCTCAAAGAGTTTATTTTGGTTTATTTGGTTTAGTTTTGGCTTTAAAATACATTTAAAATTTCCAGATTATAAAGAGTTTTGTACTTTTAATATATATATTTGAACAAATTCAGTATATTTAGTTTGAGTCTTTTACTGCTTTATTTGGAACTACATTAACAGCATTAATGACTAGAAAGAAGCGAGAGACTCATTATAAGGATCAATATTTGTATTGATTTACAGATGGGAACCTGATTACTACTTTAGGAGAATAAATCCTTTAAGAAGATTTTTTCTTCTGTTCTTTAGGTGATTGGGACTTGTTTATTTTTTAAAGTAACTGTCTCTAAAAGTTTCTTATTTGTTTATTTTGCTAAAACGGATTTAATTAACATGTTACAATATCCAGTAGGTCTTTCACATGTTACTGTAGAGGGATTTAACTCCTGTCTTTCCAGGAGAACATTTAAAGCATGATCTTAAAAGGTCTCTATGTATCAGAAGGCGTTCAAACTTTGCACATCCAAAGCTGAACTTAATAGCAGGTGTGATCTGTATCGTGTGTGTGAATTGAGCAGAACAGCACAGGATTTATAAGAATGTTGGGGTGAAAAGCTCCTGGCACAAATTAATTTGGGTGATTTAGTATCTTTATTCAATAAAAAAAGTAAAACACCATGACTGAACCTAAACATTGTAGCATGTTTAAAAAATGTTCACCTGACTCCTGTGTGCCAGCCTGAAATGTGCATCTCTAACTTGTGGCAATAGTGATTTTTTCCCTCCCTTTATGTTCCATTACAAGCCTGCCTCAAAGTATGATAAGGTTTCAGATGGGGCTACATATGTTTGCAAAATTTTAGGTCAAGCAGATGTTGTAAGGAGTTGGTGGAGATAAATCCAGCTGTTGAGAGTTTAATCTCGCTGTGGAAGTGTGGCTCCTTCTCTGTCGGAGGGGGGTTGGGATCGAGGACCTGACGAATCCAGCTTTTCAAGGTGTTAGGGTTAAGATTTTAAAGAGAACAGCTCATGTTCTCAAGATTTTCCAGATGTTTGCCTAAGGTGGCGACAAGTGAAATGACACCTTTGTTGCATGCACGTAATAAAGAATAGAAAAAAAAGCACCACACTACACACTACAATGTTTCTATGATTTTACAGGAGGGACCAGGAGAATGGACAGCTTTGGACTCTGAGGTTTTAATGAAGGAGGATCAGATCTGCGGCACCGTCAATCCAACTCCACATCAAGTGCTGCTAGACACTCGCTTTGAGCTTCCATTTGGTTTGTATCACATCATCCCAAACTTACAAGAGTACTTCTGTTTCAAAGTGTTTTTCCTGTCCAGGAATAATGAATGAAAAAGTCAACACTTTAATAAGCTCATAAAACACTGTAACTTAAATGAGCCATTTATATACACTTTTAGAAAAGTGCATTTAATTTCCCTGAAACTAAGTAATATTTACCAGAAAACAGTTATTCTCATTCAGAAAACTGAGAAATAGTGATTAGAAATGAGGAATCTCATTTAGTAATGCACATTAGTAGTATTGGTAAAATGTAATATAGAGAGGATTGTGGAGCAGCTGTGCTGTTTGATTTGTTCATGTTTCATTTATGAAGGAGCAATCCAGGTCTCAGTCATGTAAAAATAGTTTTTCCATTTAAGAGATAATGGCCTTTTTGTAACGTTAAGTCATCAAAACTAGTCATGTACAGAAACAAACAAACAAACAAAAAAACAACAATGATATACTGTTTCCAGTTTGATTTGAGTATTAAACTGTCAAAGCTGAATATGATTAGTTCTTTGATACCTTTTAGTATTAGTTTCTGTTTATACTTCTGTATGGTTACAAAATTATAAATTATAAACAAATAATGTAATTTTTTTACCTGGTATTGTGAGTATTAGATTATAGGAAGAAAGCACTTTACATCCTTACTTTCTTCTTGTTGTTTGTTAACAGCTGCCTGCTGTATTTAATTCCCCTCAACTTCCTGCCAAAGTTCCTTTATACTATAACATGTGAAACTACCATTAGGGTTTATTAATCTTTTATGATGGGTTACACTGTGATGATGTTTCACAACCTTTTCATTTTTATTTTCTGCTGTTTTATTCATGTAGCGCAGTCTCTCAAGTAATTTTTTTATCTACATGGTCTTGATTAGTTACTTAGTGCAGCTTCACTGTAACATCTATAATTTAGTAATTTAGACACAAAGAGAATTTTAAGAATATCTTTCTATTAGTTTGTATTTACACTTTATTTGTGATATTTTCTTAAAAAGCTGATTGATTTGACCCTGAACCCTGGAAAGACAACTTCTCATCCAAAAGTAATCCAAAATGCAGGAATATAATGTTTAAGTACATCGAGAGTGAAGCTCTTCTATCCTAAGAGGATGGAGGAGAGAGAATAGAGATAAGGGTGGAGCCCAGGCGTCCTTCATTTCTTTCTGCACCTTGGCTGGATTAACTTCTCATTTTTCCTGGATTATGTCTTGTACTTCATATAATGTTGTTTTTTCACTCATTGATAAATCCCTCCTCCACCTGTGGATCTTTGTCTGTCACTTACTACTTTTATCTGACCAGATATCCCAGAAGACGAGGCACAGTACTGGACCAGTAAGCTGGAGAAGATCAATACTATGCAGATACACGATGAGGTTGGCTCAATAACTGTTTCCTGCTAGTACTCTGTAAAAAGAAATAATGCCATTTTCTCTGACTTACCAAAAAATGTTGTTTTTATCATATGAGGTTAATTTGAAGTTTTGTTTTCATACAGCAATGAGTGTACTGGCAGCTCTAAAATGTATAAATATGAAGAATGATTCATTTGTAGTTTTTATTTTAATAGAAGAAAAAAAAAATCAGATGAGTGCATGATGATTTTTTTAATTGAAATAGCATGTTTGTGAACTAAATTAACAAACTCCATGTTATATAAAAAGGCTCCTTAACATATAAAAAGTTTAATCAGCGGTAATCAAGCTCCACTTATTTCTAAAATAACATCCAGCAGTTTATTTACCTGATCCACTTATGTGAATTCATTTGAGTGGATTTCAAAATATCAAATTCAAAAATAAAGTTAAAATCTCTGTGTAATCCTACAATACAACCTTGGTGTAACATTTGAAACTATAATAGTTTCATGTGTTATCTTACTTTATTCTTTCTGGTTAAAACTTGTATTAATGTGGTATAATTCACTATAAAACATCCGTGTTTATTTTAGCCTTCTGTGTTAAGTATTATGTATATATATAAAAACTATATATATATATATGTATAGTTTTTTTTTCATTATATATTTATTTGTTTTCAAGAAATACAAGCCTAAACACTCCAAAGTTTTTTCCTTTTATTTAGTTTGTTGTTATTATAAATGGAATTAAACTCAGCATGATCCTGTGATAAGTTTGTGTGGTTCTCTGCTGCCACCTTGTGTGATATCGGGCTTGTGATTACAGGGAGTAAATGAAGGAAGCTCTATGAATTTATTTTATTCTTTATCTTTTAATTGTTCTGCTTTTCATCTTTTTCTTCTACTTTTACCAGTATCCATTACCAGGAGATGTTCAAAGAAGAAGAATGCCATCTATGCCCTCACAGTGCTGTAAGTTTATATAAAGAATAGTATACAGTATTTGAAAGTATTCCATGGCAGTAAAAAAACTCACTCTTTAAGTTATAAAATTTAGTTTTTTATTTATGCAGCTGTTAGACCTTTACTGATGAATTTTTATATAAAAGGATATATTTATTGTAAAACATCAAAGTTGAATAATGACCTATGTATTTTATAAAATGCACACAAAAAACATTCATCTTATCACTTTAACATCTATCATGAAGTTGAACCCATTTGGGAGTTTACTTCCATCCTAAGATCTCATTTCCCTGTTGCACTGAGGTATAGGTTAAATACTTCAGTTATAGACTTTACTTCTCTCCTTTGGAAACTCTCCTTTATTCCACCAGGCAGTTGGAGTTATTTTGGATGGGGTGACCAGCAAAGTATGTACAGTGATCGTTCATTGTTTTCGCCCATCTGTTATTCAATGTTCCCTCCATGTTTGCATGTTGCAGAATGGCTCATTGACTCATTACAAAAATATACTTATTCTAATCATCATCATAATATGTGTATGATTCTAATGGAAATAAAAACATGGTGCCCTGCCCAGTTGTGAAGTGTTGTATTTGAATTCATGTCGTTTACAATCTGTAAACACATCCTTCACAAGTTTGTCCTTCTTGTATTAAATGCCTGCTACCACATGAGGGAGCTATTTTTTCAACTATCTGAATTGTCTGAATGCCTTCTTTCCTTTTTTCAAATAACCCAGGTGTGCATTAAATGAGTGGAAGTAAAAACCATCTACCTAAACTATCTGCCTTTTTCCCAGCATATGATGACCACGACAGTGCAGTGGATGATCGAGACAGCGACTACCGCAGTGAAACTGGAAACCGACCACCACGGTTCCATAACACTTCCCAGATGAACTCATCTGTCCATCAGTACCCCATAGGCCGTAGAGTCCAGCATCAAAGCCTGTCAAGGGAGTCTGATTCTGTACACAGTTATGAATTAGACTATAGGGAAATGAGGGCAAGCAGGTAAACACAAACACCCTCACAGACACATCTTGCTACCTATGCAGTATGATATAATGATAAAAAAAGTAATTAATTAGATTTTTTTTTATGTCTGTGTGTCTATAACTATACATACAGTCTGGTTAAAAGTTTTAACAGTGACACAAATGTGTTTTTTTTTTCCAATTCATCTCTATACTAGAAAACAACATCAAAGTTGAGACTTTCAATAAGTTTAAGTAAAATTCTATTATTTGAAAGACGTAGAAAGGAATATGCTTCGGTAGATGAGAAACAACCCCAGACATGGATTATATCGGGATGTGTCCCTGTCAGCTCAATGTCCCTTAAAGAAAATCTGGATTAATTAAATTTTATGCAGTATTGTATGCTATAATACATGAACATCAACATCTAAATGAATAAGGATATATCCAAGCAAGGTAATGCTACTTCTTTGGTGTCCACTGGTGGCAGCATGTAGTTCAAATTAGACCAAGTAGACCATTGCTGGACACAGTTAGACATCCTAAATACCTCCTTACTACATTCCAAAAAAGTGAAAAAAAGTGAAAAAACAAACCACTGGACTTTGTTTTCCAAGTTTGAAGGCATTCTGCTTCCCATCCAGGAAGTTTTTTATTTCAAAATGTCATCAATTAGCACTGAGTTTCAAGGTTTTATAAAGTAGCCCAACAAAGCCCTATTATGGCTTAAAAAGCATGCAAATTCAACCAAAAGAACAGGTCCAACCCTTAGTAATGGGGAGTCATTGAGGTCATTGTCGGCCTGCAATACCCGATACTGGCCTATGTCTCTAAAAGGGACTCATTAAGGTCGTTGTTGACATGGCTGACTAGACGAGATGTTTTAGTCCCTGCATAGCGATGGGGGTTGAGATTATAGTGGGAAGGAATCAACTCCATTGCTGTGTTTCAGGTTTTTGAGAGGTGGAACCTGAGACCACCCCCTCTGTTTAAGGTTTAAGGTAGTAGTAGGTAAAACTGTAGTGAGGAGTTTTACCTCCTACAACCTTGAAGTTCTACAAATCTATAGCAGCAGCATTTTCTTTATGTTTATTCAAGTTGCTGTCAAAAAAAAAAGGAAAACTGTTGAATAAGGACACATGATTTTATCACAGTCAGGCTGTCAGATAGATTTTTCTGTTAAAATTGCAGTACTTTGTTAAAGTTCGATGATAAATGTTTGCAGAAATATGAAAAAAAATACTTTTTATCGTCAGCTTATAATAATCTTTAGACGAATGTCTGTATATGTAATTACTGTAACTAAAAATCCTGAACGATGTGAGAAATTTACACATTTTTGTCACTGAAAAAACTCTTTGCCATCTCTTTTTTGATATTGTCCTACTAGTTAATACATGAGTTTAGGGCTGCAACAACGAATTGATAAAATCGATAAAAATTGACTTTTAAAAGCGTTGGCAACGAATTTCATCATCGATTAGTTGTGTCGCGCGATTAATGCGTCATCCGCCGCCGCCGTCATCACATCCACTTGACTGAAACGGGGGGAAAACAAAAATACGACAGAGCGAGCCAGCGGTGTGGGTGCAGTGTTGCCAACTCAGCGACTTTTCAGACCCCTCCAGCGACTATTTTTCAAAAAAGCGACTAGCGACAAATCTGGCGACTTTTTACGGTGTCACTGGTGGCTTTTGGAGACTCTTACGTGAAAGCATGTATCGTTCCTACTCTGCCGTGGGGCGCCTCCCCCATCCCAACCCCGTTCTCCCGCAGGAGTCCCTCTCAGCGCTGCAGTCAGAGCCGCAGGATGTTTACCCTCAGCGTCCAGACTGCAAATGAAGCGTGCATGCGCCGGCGCAAATTGATCACAATAATTAAAATAGCCTGCCCTTTGTAAAGTGAAAAAACTCGTAACGTGCAACTTTTGTCAAAACAAATTAACATGGCACGAAAGCGCCATGTTTGTTTTGTTTTAAAGTGGGGAAACGTAACGTAACGTTCAGGTAGCTCATCTGATGCTTTCCTTACCTTTCCTTACCTTGCTAGTAGGTTACAGACAGTGATAAGGTTGGCTACTTATTTTACTCTTAATTTCATTTGAATTAGCTTAAGCAGCGTTTATATTTTCTTTATAAATAAATTAACTTGCAAATTATGAGGGCAAGGCTTTTAAAGTTTAAATCTTCTGGCAAAGATAAAGTAAAGAAGATTCTGCAATTTATGGAAGTAAAGCAGAATAAAATCCAGCAAGATCAGTAATATGTCAATTAATTATATGCCACATTTCCATGTAAATATCTGTCTTTGGAGGATGTGTTTTTTAGCACCCCTGTTCTCTCATTTTTATTCCATCTTTATAATTTGAACCACAGGGCTATTTTTTATCTCTATGGTTCAGTATTTTCTCAAGTAGCAACTTTAACTGCTATACTTTCCTGTCTTAAAAGGCAGAACTCTTCTAGTCTAAAAAAACTCATTTGTTGAAATGGGGGGACCTATTGTTTGAACCCCTTAGGGGCTTTAAAAAAACAAAAAAGTAACCTATATTTTGTGGATGTACAGCTACATTTCTCATGTAAGTTTGCGTAGTTTTAACACAAACATTTATTTTTCATATTGCACCAGTACAGTTAATGAGCAACCTGTACTTGTGTGCTTGTTTGTTCTGTCTAAAATGTTTATTTTGGAATAAAGAGGTTAATATAAAAAATATTTTTTGTCCGATTCATCGATTAATCGATAAAATAATCGTCCGATTCATCGATTTTTAAAATAATCGTTAGTTGCAGCCCTACATGAGTTACTCAGTTGTATGACAATTGCATGTGATCATTTTAAGCTGAAACAGCAACCCTCTAAAAAAGAATTATAGACTAGCTGTTTTTTCTATATTTGTAACTGGCTTCTTTCATTCATCTTTATATGGACTAACTTTCTTTATGTTCTTTTGCAAATGTTGTTAATGTCTTTTCTTTCCTCTTTTTTTCTTTCTTTTCATTACATCCCACTGCTTCCTGCATGATATCATTGTGTTTAATCAAATCAAGACGATCAAAGAAAAAGAGAGGAGTTAGAATCATTCCTGTAGACTCTGGTATGGGTGTGGAGGATTGGGAGAGTAAATATAAAGTGCCTGACTCAGGTGTGCTAGATGACTATCTAGACACTGAGCAAAAACTTTGGGAAGATGAAGATAAGAGTATCATCTACCGAATCAGCGACAGCTGTGAGTCCAAAGGTAGCAGATTTTATCAGACTGTCGAGTGTGATGGGCTATCCCCGGAGGAGCCACTGGAGCCAAATGGCATTGTGAACAGACAGAGGCATGGCTTTGGCAGCGGAGAAGTACGATTAGTTTACAAGGCAGCTGGCACCTTTGAGGATGAATCTTCTCCTCCTGAAATTGATATTATTCCATCAATCAAACAGCAGCGACAGCCGTCAGACAAGGAAAGTCTGCTTTACAAGACCAGGCTGTGGGCAAAAACTGCTTTAGAAGACACTTTGGAGAATTATGCAGTTTTCCGTGAACAAGAAGCCGCTCAAGAAGAAGCTGCTAGAATTAGAAGACGTATTGAATATAATTCCCTTGGTTCTGATGAGATGCAGTACTCATTTGGATCTGAGGAAGAACTAGAGGATCTAACATTCTCTGAGGTAGATGCTAATTTTGATGATGAAAACTACGGCTATCCTGGGAAGTATATGCAATATTTTGGACATGATTTTTGCAGAAAAGACGTAACTGATCAACAGGATCTAACATTGTCTCCTCCGGCGGAACCAAGTGATGAATACATAGACCCAATGGGTGAACTGCGGAGCTTAGTTCATTCAGTGTCTGAATACTTAGCTGTAAAAGAGGAGGAGATCAACAACTATGAATCAATGCCCAAGTCACCCAGAAGAAAACTACCTGCCCTGCCAACTGATGCTAATATTTTACAACCTACAGACAATGACAGCCATTTGGTCAAACCTGATGTTAAAGAGGAAAGTTCTGTTGAACAAGGCATAACTGGAGTGAAAAATGCAATGAGCTCATTGTTTAACACAATTTCAGGGTCAAAATTTCCAAATGAAACGGAAGTTTCTGGTACATCTCCAGATCCTCAAGCACCACAGGCTGACTCTGGTATTTCAAAAATTCTTTCATTTATCCCTAAAGGTAATACTGAAGCATCCGAAATGTCTTGTGAAACCACAACAGAACAAAAGACCTCTCAAACAGCTCCTCAACCAGAACTGGGAATTTCGAAGCTCCTTGCATTTATTCCCAAAAGCGGTGGTACCTCTCCGCCAGTGGCTATAGTTCCACCTGCCTCTCAGGAGCCCCAAACTGAGAAGAAGTTCTCTCTGCAGTCCCTTTTGCCTTTTCAGTCATCTGAACCAACTAGACCAGCTGATGCCAGTCAGCCACTGACCCATGCTACCACAGGAGCACAGGCATCAGCTGGGAACCAGTCTGCATCTGGGTTTGAATCCATGTTAGGAAGGCTAAGCCCTTTGAGGCTATTTTCGAGTGCACCTTCATCCAGAGAGCCATCACCTCACCCACCAGAGCAAGGCCTGTCTGCTGCAAGCAAAGAAACCCAACAAAGACAATTAAGTAGAGCCACCAGTCCTAAAAAAGAGAGTTCACAAACAGAGGAGCAGTTATCAGGAGAGATAATACCAGGTTCAGGGAGTGGATCAGTTGATCTTTTGCCAGATACAGGAAGTGGATCAATCGAGCTTTCCCAAGAAACAGGAAGTGGGTCAGTAGAGCTTCTTCCAGAGACTGAGTCCTCTAGTGAACTTCCTGATATTCAGCAAAGAGGTACATCTACAGCATCTGAAGCAAAACCTGAGGGAAGTTCAGAGGAAGCAGGATTTTTCAGTCCTTTTAAGAAATCCATCTCCAACCTCATGTCAGCAGCTCCATCAGAACATTCATCACAGAAGCCTGCCGAGGAGTCATTTCTTGGCAGCAAACTAAAAATCCCATTTTTGTCAGATAATGTTTCTACAGCAACCACACCTAAAGTAGAA